TCTTTAACTGTGACTCTCCTTAAGAAGACCCCATTCAGGACCCAGACGATGGAGTGGCCAATGCGCTCTGGCTGCTTCATCTTCTCAGGGACCCACAGTTTCTTAGTTTTTCTTCCTCGGGGCCCTTTAACCTTCTCCTTGATACTGAAAGCTTCTTGCTATGAGGATGACAGTGTTTTTCTGTCTTCTCAGGGTGTGTAGGGGCTGCCATGGACTTGAGATGGGCATTTGGGTTTTGACTCTACCAAAGGGAATGGCTGGGCTAGGCAGCCACTTGTGTCTTGCCTTTATTTTGTAGCCAGATCCTCACTTTCAGGCAACTGTCTTGTGTTTTTTCCAATGAGTGTCTATCTTTGATAGTTGTTTTTTATTTTTTGGTTTTTAAGTCATAGTTATAACCATACCCTTCCCTTTCCCCAACTTATTAATATTTATTGTGCACAAAAATGCCTTTAATCAATCTAGCCTCTATTTTCAATTATCTTAGCCACACTTTGCTGATTATTGCTACATAACAGATGGGTATTTAGTAATAGGCACTTGAGCTTCTCTAAGTCTTGGTTTTATCTTTGATGTCTGAAAATATTTGAAGGAAACAAATCAAAGCAACATTTAATTTCTGTGTGATTCCACTGTAGACTCAACCACAAGGGATCCCTGTATTCTTGTTTTATTTACATTTCTCCACATTTAAACAGCTTTAGTATTATTTCTTTCCTCACTATTTTATAAGGATGCAACTTTCTGAATTTATGTCACAGCCAAACTCAAATACCAGTTACTGTCTGCAGTGGGAAGGAACAATTTAACAAAGCAGGATATCGCATGCTATTTAAAATCCAATTATAAAAGCTAATTTTTTTCTCAAGAAATGCTTTGTTTTGTTTAAGGCTGTGGCGCCTACCATAACAAAATGTATGAATTAAAACCTATATTTGAATTTTTTAAGCAGAGATTAAACAGAGCATTTTTATGCTGTTCAACCAAGACACAATCTTTCTTAAATTAACAAATACTTGTCCCTCACAGTAGAAGCTGAACCATTTAGCTCACCAGTTTCTCATTACCATTTCTTGTTCTTTTGCCCATGAAGGTCAATGGATTGAGGCCCTTAACTCATACCAGAAATGTATGAATTACATGTGCGTCCATGGAGACCGCTGCTTCTCAAGAGAACTCCTGTGGGCACAGGTGTTGGGCAATGGGACCCTTTGAGCAGGAACCTTTATTTTCAGAAAGAGGTCTGGCAGTCCCACTTCTGTTTGTCAAGAGGGTTCCTAGCGGCACAGTGCCAACCCCAGGATGAACTATTCTCAGCATCCCGGGTCTGTGCTCCTGATTTCTGACTATTGCCTGTTCCCCTCATCCTAGTGATCCTCCCTAAAGTCTGGTCTGTGTCAGGCCCTCCTGCCTCTCACAGGTCACAGGACTCAGTGGCTGCACAGCCTTACAGAGCAACTCAAAGCTGTGTCCACTGAGGGTGTCTCCTGGCTGTGATGATGCTCCCAAGCACTTCAAACTCAAGGAACCATTTTGAAAGCCACTAGCTTGCCTCAGCTCAAAGTTGAAAACTCAGAATCCTCCAGGGGTTTTGGAGGAGTGGGAAATGGAGGACGTGGAAGATGGTAGGTGGGAATATGGTAGGCAGTGGGGTTCACACTCCAGGGGACAGATAGCTGGGACAGAGCTCCTGCAGACTTTATGGTCCTAGTGCGCTACAGGTGGTGGGGGACCAGTGTAGGGACACAAGTTTAAGTGTGGGTGGTGAACAGACCGTTTTTATCAACCCTGTCAGTACATTTCTGAGACTGGATAGCTTCATTTAGAGAGAGCATCAAACGCCTATGCCTGAGGCACTTTCTTGAGGCATGGATCGTAACATCCTTCTGAGGCCCTGCTCACATATTTATGTCCTACTGTTTCTCATGTCTATGAAATATGATGATTAATAAAACACAACTTAGGTAACAGCTCTAAAGAATTTATAGTAGCTGCTTGATTCCTTTTCCCTATTCAGTTGCTGTTGAAACTGCTATCTTGTGAGAGAATCAACAGAATGTTGACATAAAAAAGAAGTCCCTATACTTGAAATCTTTGATTACCATTTCTCCCCATAGATCTTGAAGGATTTCGGTGAAAGTTGGCTAATTCCACTATGTTTGAGGAACCTCCAATACAAGGACTTGACTGTCTTGCCTGAGGCACCCTGTTAGGTCCCAGACCCCAGGTTTTCCATGAGAGAAAGCAGTGCTGCATTAATTCATTCAGGGACTTTCAGTGTGCCAGGTACTGGCTTAAGTACCAGAACAGGGTGGTAGACAATGGCCTCCACCCTAGAAACCTCAGGAAGAAGCAAGTGGAGGGTTTGGGTCAGTTCACTAGTGGTCAAGGGGTAGGAGGTGGGGACAGAACCAGTGTTCTCCTCCAAGCCCCTCCCCTGCAGTTAAGTGGGGGGGGGGGGGGCGGCTGGCAGCTGGACTTCTGACCTTCACACACCTGGCCCTGAATGAGCACAACTAACCCTCGGATTGGGCCTGGGTGGCCTTTTGTTTAGTGCAAGACCTGGGCTTAGTGCACAGAAATGCCAATAGTAAGAAGTTAAATGGCTTAAGAACATGGTCCAGATTTCCAGGCAGGAGTGGAACAGAGCAGAATGGAATGTGAGGCTGTGAGCCGGTGCCTTGGCTTGGAGCAGAGACACGAAGCGTCTCAGGATGATGAGGCTGGCTGGCAGCCTGTGGATGCAGGGGCAGTTTGTGTTCTCAAGGTGGGGAAAGACTATACTTCAACTCAAAACTCAAAGGGAAAAATGGCTTTTGTTTCCCTAGTGACTTCTGGAGACAGGCATAATTTTTGCACTTCTCCAAGGTCACGGGTCTTCTCCTACACCAGTGCTGCTTAAACTTGGATGAGCGTGTGACTAATCGGAGGATCTTACTAAAATGCAGGTTAGGTTCGGTAGGTCTGGGACAGTGCCTGAGATTCTGCTTCTAACAAGCTCCCTATGGCTTGCTGGTCTGCGGGAGGTGCTTTAAGGAATGGGCCTGGAACCCACCTGGTGGCCTGGGAGTGGGAACTGGCCTCACTTGCTTTGTGGAAGGCATGATCCCTGCTTCAGCCACACTTGCACTCTGCAGTTGCCACATTGTCTGCAGTGGCATCTCCTTCTCTCAAGGGTCTTAGGTAGTTTAAGGGGATATTGCCAGAGAGTGTGTATTGGTTGTTGTGTTTAATTATTAAAAAAGATCTTTGTGGTGCTTTGCAATACATCTTCAGGGCAGAATGCTAGTAGTAGCTGTCATGCAAATTCAAGGTCTCCTTAATCCCACCTCACTGCATGGCATTGCCTTGACCCACAGACCTTGTGGTCTCGCATATAGTGGGGGTAGTTCACCATAGTCGATGCTGCAGAAAGCTTTTGACAACCCATTATGAAATGATGAGCTCGTGTTGTGCCCAGTGATTTAATCCTGCAGCAGCCTCTTTAAAATGGATGGATTACAGAATAAATCTGCGAAAGGGACTAAATCCATTTGTTATATTCTGGGCATTGGCTTTCACTGTCATTATATTTGGTCATTTGGGCCTCCTGGCTTAAAAACAATTACAGAAATCTAAAAAGCAAATTTCCTTTTGACGTTTTGTTACTTTGGGGCTACATCAAATGGGTTCTCTCAGAAAGGAAGTAAAGGCTCAAGGTTCATTCGAAATTAAACTCAAAGTGATTTCAGGAAAATTGAGGTTTCATTTCACCATCTGGGTTTAAAAGCCCCAGTCTTTCATTCAGTGTGGTGCATCCAAGGCCAGCAGGTGGCTTTTTCATCCATTGCCCAAGCTGATGGTACTACTTTCTAATGAAAAGATAACCATGTAATACGGACCACACTGATCTTCCAAAATTACTTTTAGTGGATTTGGAGGAGAGGCTCGCTTAATGTTTCTTCATTTATTCTTATAGGTCACATTCCATCCCCCAAATATTCCATGGGTCTGTCAGCAACTTTGATTGAAGCAGAAATTTATCTTATCAAATATCCTGATGAGGGCTTGGCAGAGTCTTTGCTGTTAAAAAGGCTTTGTTGTCATGGTACTTATCTTAATCAGGTTTGGCTGGCTCACACAGTTCTCACTCATAGGATTCTAGAAGGAAAAACAATCTAACCAACTTAGAAATCATCTGGTCCAACCAACTTATTTTACTGCTAAGGAGTTTGCCAAGGTCACCCGGGCTTGTTTGAACCCCAGTCCTGAGCTCCCCGCCGTCTCCCACAGTGCATTTCTGTGTTGATTTATGGATGTGATAAGATGGCTGTGAGGCATGTTCTGTCCGATGCCATTCATTGCGTTTCTCTGCCATGCAGATCCTGCCTTCTAGCAGAGTCTCAGGAGACTCACCAATGCTCCGGGGAGAGGAAATGGCACAGTAGGAGCCCAGGCTCTACAGTTTGCTGTTCTGGAGCAAATCCTGCCTTCCTCTATAGATGTTGTGTGACTTTGAGCAAGCCGCCGAGCCTGTCTGTGCCTCCCTCTCTTCAGATGTGAAATGGAGACCTTTCCCACAGGATAGTGGAGGAATGAATACCCACAGAGCAGTTGGAGCAGTCAGGTGCATCATGTGTGGATTTGCAAACTATGCGTTTCCACTAGGTATTGAGTTGTGAAATCAGTGTTATGAATCATAAATAGCATTAGAAAAAATTAAATGACATATAATTTAATAAGATAGAACAAATTAGAGTGCTCTGCATGTATGGTGTTCCTTTGAGGTGTGTTTGTGTGTAATGGCTCATGGTGTTCCTTTGGTTTTGTGTGTGTGTGTGTGTGTGTGTGTAATGTATTTCTCACTGCAGATTTTAGGCCAAGTTTGGAAGCCTCAGCTGCAGGAACTAGAGTGAATGGATCCATTCTCTAAGCACGGACCTATCGGGGTGAATTGGCACATGTTAGCATTGATGCACAAGGTGAGCTCTGGCTGAAATGTCAATGTGTTTCCTTTGCAGAGGGAGACCAAAGGGCAGTTTCTTATTGACCACATCTGCAACTACTACAGCTTGCTGGAGAAGGACTACTTCGGCATTCGTTACGTGGACCCAGAGAAGCAGCGGGTAAGAGCTGACCTCTGTCAGGACACATTTAGGGGAGTCACTCAGGCTGTGGGGTGCTAAAGAGTTTCCTCTCAGAACAATTGTGATGCATTCTTGTTCTCATGGTTGCTGATGGTTGACCACATGAAACTGACCAGTCTGGTGTGTGTGTGTGTGTGTGTGTGTATGTGTGTGTGTGTGTGTGAGAGAGAGAGAGAGAGAGAGAGAGAGAGAGAGAGAGAGAGAGAGACTGACTCTCATTGTTCCCACTGGACTGGGTGGGGCAAGAGAAGAGAACACTTACTTAGGCCTTTTCAGGAGTTGCTCCCACCTGGTTGAAGACAAAATGTTCCTGTGCCCTTCAAAACGTCTCACTACAAAAAGCTACTGGTACATGGGAGACTGCGTAATGGGTACAAGGTTTTCTTTTGGGATAATGAAAACATTTGGAACTTGATAGGTGGTGGCTATATAACATGGTGAATATACGAAATGCCACTGAAATGTACACTTTAATTTTATGCCCCCTCAGTTTAAAAAGCTTTGGCAGAGGAAGGGTTAAGATACTTTGAAAGCCGCTCCTTGGGACCCACTATATTTGACAGCCTTCATTATATTCTTCCTCTTGGACACACCTGTTCTTTCTGGCTTCTGTTGATGCTTAAGAATGGGCAGGGGAGTCTTGTCTTTGGAGTAATGCACCAGCCTAATTGTGTTCAGGCATGGGATGTGTCAGTCACAGTGATGTATGCTTCTCACATCCAAAGGCCCCGGGAATCTCCACCTCAGCTCCCACTACTTGGGGATTCCCCTTCCACACCGCTGCTGTGGATCCAAGATATGGGTTAGGAGGGTCTGTATCTGCTTGTTACCCTGTCACACTGCCAAGCAGGGCAGTCTGGGAAAGGCTCAGCTGGGGGTGGGCAGGGATAGGAGGACAGGGCCCCTCAGACTTCTTTAATTTTCTTTCCTTCTTACCAGTGTCCCTGGCCATCTTCCTGGTCCTTGATTTTGTGTTGACTGATCTAATGCAATGAGAAGCAATGAGGGAGGAGGATGTTTGAGGGATAGACTAGATTTTCTTCTGAAACATGGAGAATCTTACTAGGCTCTTGAAGTCCAGTAGGACCTAATCTCCTATAAAGGGATACAGTGTCGTGGCTCAGAAGAAGGAGGTTTTGCTTTCCTGCAGCACTTGCAGGAGCCCTTTAATGGGCCTAGCATTTATCTGAGTGAGAGGAAGGCAGGAGGACACTGATGAGGATGTAGGGCTGACATGAGATCACAGAGAGGATTTGTGTGGCATTTACTACTGATTAATAGTGGTTCTCAGACCTGGCCCTGCAACAAAATCCCCTTAGGTGTTTGTGAACATGCTTAGTGTGGACCCTATTCTAGATCTCCCAAATCAGAATCCTGGGTCAAGGGCCAGGAACAGGTATTCTAATACATCCTGAGGCTACTTTTGATCCCGCCATCCCAGCTTTGGTCTTCTTTTAGTGTTGGGGACCATGGTATAAAGACATATAGGCATAACTTCTAATGGCCTATTATGAAGATATTATCCTTATATGGAGAAACAGGCTCAAAGACATTGTTATTCATCCAAGGTCTCACAGCTAGTAAGTGATGGAGTGAGTATTTGAGTTAAGGGTTATGGTTTAAACTCTAACCCCCATATGCCAAACAGATTCTGTGCACTATATTAATCATCTAACCACCACCGAAAATAGTTTGGGTATGTGTGTGTGCAAAATTCCATTTTAAATTATAAACAGCCAACCTATAAAAGTCATTCTAACTACCATTAGTTGAACATCTATAATGTGTCAGAAATTTTACTCACATGGTCTCTAGTCTCCCCTAAAACACTGCAAGGAAGAGGGAAACTGAGGTACAGAAAGGGTCAGTGGCTTGCCAAAGGCCACATAGCTAGTAATTGTTGGAGGAAGGATGGGATTTTAATCCATATTCTTTCCATTTCATCTCTCACATGAAAATTTGAAATGCAGTCTAGATCAGGGATCTGTAACCTTTTTCTGTAAAAGCCCATATTGAAAATATTTTCAGCTTTGTGACCTACACAGCCTCTGTTGTAATTACTCAATTATTCTTTCAATTATGGAAAGCAGCCATAGATAATATCCAAAGTAATGGATGTGGCTGTGTTCCAAAAAAAACCTTTTTCCCTCAGTAAAAGTGTTTTACAAAAAATAGGTGTTTGGCCATAGTTTGCTGACCCATTGCCTAGAGTCCTAGACAATAGCTGGAAATGACTTAAATGCATTAGCCCTTTTCATTTCTCTTCACTCTCTCATTGGGGAGATAGGGAATAAAACATAAGAGAAGCGTTTAGAATTGGAGTTAGAGATATCAATATGAACTCATGATTTTTTTAAAAAACATGCATAGGTAGATATAGAAATAAATATAAGTGTGTATATATGTGGGCTAGTACACATACATATATTTATAGGTTCTGTCCACCGAGATGGCCTAAAAGCAGTGACATCACAGTAGCAATGAGCACACCTAGCCCCTAGATCTTGGCTTCTAATACATTCTCCGATAAAAGTAACTAGGGCTCCTTGCAGAAATGGCTGATTCTAGGCCTGGCATAGGGAAATCACAAGATGACTCTGAAGCATCTTGTGCTGCCAGAATGTAAGTACGTGCTCATAAAGCTAAAAGGTAGGGCCCTAGGAAAGGCACAGAGCCAACCTGAAAGAACTTCAGTGGCCCAACCTGGAACAATAGGAGCAGCAAAAATAAATAACAATAGTGTGGAATTATAATCCCTGGAATAAAACAAAGATCCACGAGTCCATAATGATATAAACAAAATAACAGAATAAATAAAAAGAGGGAGAAGGGGCAGCTCTTCCTTACAGAAGAATTCCAATTAATAAATGTATAAGGAATGATAGAAATTGGAAACTGATGGTAGAACACCACAATAATAATTGTGGGCAAGGTCTGTGGTTGAAAGCTAAAATTAGTGGACAAAAGCTTGAGGAGAAACTTGTTTCAAAGAATCTGCCTCCCCTCATATTTGTTAATAACAAGGGGAAAAAGGTAACTCTAAAGTGGAGAAACCTGGCAGACAACATTTTAACCAAGCCGACAAGGCTAACATCTGCCGTAAAAAGATGTACCAACAGCACCTACTCCTGATATCATGCACTGAGAAGGGCACAGTCTCTACAATGTTCTTCCCAAGAGTGCATAACCTCATTCAAACTCTGAGAAAACATCAGACAAACTGAAGTGAGAGACAGCCTCCAATGTGACTTACCAATATTCTTCAAAAGTGTTCAGGTCATGAAAGGCAAGGAAAGACTGGGAAACTCACAATTTAGAGAGATGCCTCTAAGGCAAGGTCCGGTCCAGGATTGGTTTCTGGAGCAGAGAGAGGTGTCAGTAGTGGGCAAATTGGTTTAAGTCTTCATGTTACTTAATAGTATTGTGTTAGCATTAGTTTTTAAATTTTGACTATTGTACTGTGGTTATATAAGATGCTAACATTGGGGAGGATGGGTGAAGGTTATACTTATGCCATCTTTGCAAGTTTTCCATCCGTCTGAAATTATTTTTTTAAGTTAAAAAAGAAGTCTTTAGGTTGATGTGCTTCATTGTTCTTTATATTTTGACTTGGTTTAGTTTATTTTTTAGTGTTCAGAAATGGGTAGTAGATTAGTGGAAAAAATGTGGATCATGACCCCCAAAACAAACTGTATTAATCTGATGTAGCCATTCAGTTGCTTAGGGGACTGTCTGAATCGTTCTGTTTTTCCCCCGAATCACACAACTATTATATAGCCTTTTGATTTTGAGGCTACAATATGAGCATAGATTCCACATAGGTTTCTGAACAGTTGCTGCACGAAAATGCATAGACTTTGCACTCAGAAAGATATGAATTAAATCACCTCTCTGCTGGTTAATAAGCTGTGTGATGTTGATCAAATGACTGAGCCTCTCTGTCCTGATTGTTAAAACAGATAACAATACCTACATGTAGGGTTGATATGGGAGTTAGAGAAAAGTTATACAAATGCTTAATAAATGGTAAATCCTGAGTACATGGTATTTATTTTTATTAATTACTATTATTGCTATGTATTGGCTGGGTGAGGCAATTGCATGAGGAAATAAGGCCACGATTAGCAAGTTAAAACCTCGAAATGCTAATAACTTCACTTAAAGGAAGGATGGCCATTATTATGATCTTCGGGAGAGATGAGGGAAAGTGACCCTTGGCTCATTAGAAAAATGGACTCAAAGGAATAGACACTCTGATATGAGAGTTTTAAGCAGAAATTGATTGACCAGCATTTTTTTTAAAAGCAGTTCATGTACTTCTTCTCAATGGGAAATAAAAACCAATGAATTATTTGGATAGAAAACTAGTCAACAGAGAAAATCTGATTAGTTAGAAAAGCTGAAGTGGAACTTACCTCTGCTGTGGGAGTTGGTGGTTTGCCTACAAGCCTTCACAACTTGGCTTATGGAAAACCATTGTGGAATATTCAATATTTAGCACTCTCACGTTTGGAACACCATATGTTTGACAAGATGTCTCATGCACCATATGCTCTGAGAGGGGTGAGGACTGGGTCAGTAAACGATGACTATCTTTTTCTCTTTTAATGGTAAGGGCCCAGAATTTCCATTTTTTAAATTTGAGGTAGGGAGGGACAGATTGAATACTGGTCAATAAAAATCCCCTTGAGTTTCCATCACATTTGTCTTCTGAAGAACTCATATCCTCTTAGTTGCAGACAATGAGGGCTGGTATTCTCTTCATTTTACTATCGAGAAAGCTGGGACTCTAAGTTTAGAAGTCTTGGGAGAAATAATTCCAGAAGAAAAAGTTAGTACTTGGCTTAAGTCCATGTATTTTCTTCTTAGATGTAGCAAATTTTTTCCATCACCTTGCTCAGGTGTTTGAATAACTTCTCTTTAGAAAGTTGAAGTTTTGAAATAGTTGGATTTCATAATTCCAAGTTTCTATGGCCCTT